AGGAACAGAAGAGAGAAAAGAGGAGAGAGAGAAGAGAGAGTGTGTGCGGTGGTGTGTAGAGAGAGAGAGAGAGAGAATAGAGAGAGAGGAGCAGAGAGAGAGAGGAAGCAGAGAGAGAGAGAGAGAGAGAGAGAGAGAGCAGGAAGAGAGGAGGGGGGGGAGAGGGGCCGGAGGGGGGGGGGACGATGGGGGAGTGGGGGAGGAGGGGGGAGCGGCTGTGTGGCGGGGGGTGGGGGTGCGGCGCGCGGCGGCGGGGGAGAGAGAGAGGAAAAGAAGGCGATGGAAAAGGCACGCACGCGAGAACGCAGGGGGGAGCAGAAAGAGAGAAAGAGTGGTGTGTGCGTGTGGTGATGGTGTGGTGAGAGAGAGAGAGAGATGAGAGAGAGAGATGAGAGAGAGAGGAGAAGGAGGGGAAGAGAGAAGCAGGGAGGGTAGTGGAGAGAGAGGAGGAGAGAAGAAGAGAGAGAGAGAGAGAGAGAGAGGAGGAGAGAGAGAGAGGACGACAGATGTGAGAGAGAGCCGGAGACGCAGAGAGAAGAGAGAGAGAGAGGGAGAGGAAGAGAGAGAGAGATAGGCATAGATAGATAGATAGGATAGAGTAGAGAAGAGAGAGAGAGAATGAGAGACCGAGAAGAGTAGCAGAGAGATGAAACCACAGAGACAAAGTTTAGACGAAAAAGAACACTATTTCTCAATCTTTTGCAGCTGGATTGGGAAGGGTATTCGTATACTTTGATATCAATTACTGTTATTAGCAGTTATCATAGATCGAATCCCAGACTAGAACAGCGCATAATGATGAATGTTTTGACAATAACCTTTCATAAAATAGTGCAAAATGACCATGATGTAATCCTGACACTTTCTAGGGGATCCCTGGCGAATGGCGCTTTTCAAAACATCAACGATCAGTAATTATTAAACGAAAAATACCTTGTTGTTAATTAAGCTTTCCTATGTTAAGAACGACGTTTTTCAGTCGGCCAGAACAGAAACGTGTTGTGTCGCGTTATGTAAAATATGATCAAAACGAAATAAAAAGATACTAGGGTTCCACGAGAGTTAATATTTAACATAAGAGATAATACTATAAGAAATTATAGAAAAGTCATATATGGCAGGAGGCAAGGTAAACGTTTTTTGATTAAAACATATTCAAATGATAGAAAAATAGATATGATATGATATAAATGAAGGTATATAATAATATATATATATTTAGTATATAATAATATAATAATATAATATATATATAAGGTGAGGTAGCATAAGAGAGATGAGAGAGAGAGAGAGAGAAGAGTAGAAGAGAGAGAGAAGTAGAGAGAGAGAGAGAGAGAGGAAGAGGGAGCGAGAGAAGGAGAGAGTAGGAGAGAGAGAAGAGAAGCAAGAAGATGAAGAGAAAGAACGGTTAGGATAACATCATGTCGTTTACAGAATAGTGGATGGCAATTGCCACATGAGAAGAGTGCTGCAATCCTACTACTTTGTATGCATAGTGAATCGAATAAAGCAATAATGTCCAGAAGTAGCCTGGGGATGTACCAAAGGAGTTAAGTTAGTAAATACAGATCAAAAGTGTAAGTAGAGGGGAAGCGAAGTATCACGTATCGAAAAAAGTGGGATTCTACCTCGACATATTCTAGATGCCATACCAGTTAGCCAATTGCCTCCGTCTTGGCATACTTATTAAAATTAAATTGGTGATTTTAAAACAGCAAAATGGCATTTGTTTTGTTTCATCATTAAATCCTGTTACATGACGGAGAGATGATGTGGCAATAATTTTGTTCAATTCTTAGGAAGGAGATAAACAATAGTTAAATATCGAAGATAACGCCTAATAGAGAGTGGGGGGCCTAGAGCATGAGAAAGAGAGAGAAGAGAAAAGGAAGAGAGAGGGAATGGGAAGAGGGGAAGAGGGATAGAGATAAAGAGAGGAAATAAGAGGAAAAAGAGAGGAGAAAAGTAGAGACAGGGGGATGAAGAGGTTTGTGTACATAAACATTCGCATATACATGTTTTGTTTTCCTTCAACAAAAAGTACACTGTATGTTTGTCGCTTTATTATATACCAAAATATTTTTACCTTGTAACTTCTCTCCCCCCCCAAATGTACAATTGACACGACTGAGGACTTGGTGTTATAAGCCACTTCTCGGTATTCCACGATGTCATAGTATTCCTTGTGAAAGGATTTTTTAGAGGAAGACACTGATGAGTACGAAAGCCAATGGCCAGCACTTTCAATGCTTTTGGGGCATTTTTCTCTCTAACGTTTTTATGGGGGGGGGGGGGGCTAACATTTTTTTCTTTGTGTATTGGTTTCCGAGTGAGTGAATGAGGAGAGAGTAGATGTAAGATCCATCGAGTTGAGAATAGAGAGTTTACATCTACATTCAGTAAATAATGCAAACATGCCACGCACACAATACATAAAATTTTATTGATCAGAGTTTAGAAGAGAGAGAGAGAGAGGGAGAGAGAGAGAGAGAGAGAGAGAGAGAGAGAGAGAGAGAGGAGAGAAGAGAGAGAGAGAGAGAGAGAAGAAGAGAGAGAGAGAGAGAAGAGAGAGAGAGAGAGAAGAGAGAGAGAGAAGAGAGAGAGAGAGAGAGAGAGAGAAGAGAGAGAGAGAGAGAGAGAGAACGAGAACGAGTGTGAGAATTTCCAAGTTACATATAGATTCAATATATAATTTGATTAGACCCTTTATACACACACAGACAGAGGAAGGGAGAGAACGAAGGAGAGTGACAATGTATATTCCATACAAAAAAGAGCGTAATAGAGAACAAATGAAGTAAATTTCACACAAAAAATAAAAGTGTAGACCTGTGTTCCTCCATTACGGCAAGTGACACGAATGCAACGCTAGATCTTGGCATTATTACAGTTTGTTAGCATTGTTTACCTTTATATCAAGGTGTCAAATTTAAGTCTGACGTATTGCAAATGTTCATGCTAAGGAAATAAAGATTCTAATCCAACGTCTGGGTTCTTATCACACTCACACTTTGTCTGAATGGTTTGAAACTGCAAGGCGTCGATCTTTTGGTTAAAATTAAAGAACATCATCTGAATTTCCTCTCTGACGTGTATTTTTAACACAAACATGCTGATTTAATAGAGAATCAATCTAAAGCTGCCAAAATCTAAAGCTAAAAATTGTACTGGAGAAGCAATTGTTCCTAAGAAAGTAGAGATGACCTGTTCCTCCCCCCTCCTTCTCTCCCCTCCCTCACCTCTCTCCCTCCCTCCCCCCCTCCCCTCCCCTCCCTCTCCCTCCCTCTCCCTCCCCTCCCTCTCCTCCCTCCCTCGCCCCCCCCTCCCCCCCCTCCCCCCTCCTTCTCCATCCATCTCCCTCCCCCCCTCCCTCTCCCCTCACCCCTCACCTCCCTCCTCTCACTCCCCTCCCGCTCCCCCTCCTCTCCTCCTCTCATCCCCCTCCTCTCCCTTCCCTCCCCCTTTCCTCCCCTCCCCTTCCTCCCCCCTCCCCTTACTTCCTCCCCTCCCTTCCTCCCCCCATCCCACCCTCCCCCCTCCCTCCCTCCCCCTCCCTCTCCACCCTCCTCCCTTCCTCCCCCCCCTCTTCCCCCTCCCTCCCCTTCCTCCCCCCTCCCCCTCCTCCCTCCCCTCCCCTCCCTCCTCCTCTCCTCTCCTCTCCCCCTCCCTCCTCCCCTTCCTCCCCCTCTCCCCTCCCTCTCCCTCCCCTCCTTCCTCCCGTCCCTCCCCCCTCCCATCCTCTCCCCCCCTTCTCCCTCCCACCCCCTCCTCTCCCTTCCCCCTCCCCCTCCCCCTTCCCTCCTCCCTCCTTTCCCTCCTCTTCCTCCTCCCTTCCTCCCAGTCCCCCTTCCCCCCTTCCTCCCCCCCTCCCCTCCTCCCTCCTCCCCTCCTCTTCTCCCCTCCCCTCCCCTCCCTCTCCTCCCCTCCCCTTCCTCCCCTCCCCTCCCTCCCCTCTCCATACTCCCTCCCCCTCCTCCCCTCCTCCCCCTCCCCTCCCCATCCCCCTCCCTCCCCCTCCCTCCCCTCCCGCCTCCCCTCCCCTCCCCTCGCCTTCCCTCCTCCCTCTCCTCCCTCCCCTTCTCCCCCCTTGCCCTTCCTCCCCCCTCTCCCACCCTCCCCCCCTCCCCCTCCCCTCCCTCCTCCCCCCTCCCCCCCCTCCCTCCCTCCCCTCTCTCCCTACTCCTCCTTCCCCCCCCTCCAGTCCTCTCCCGTCCTCCTCCCTCCTCCCCTTACCTCTCAATTCCTCGTCCCCCTGGTTCCTCCCCGCCTCCCTCCTAGCTTCCCTCTTCCTCCCTCGCCAAATGTCTCCCCAGTCCTTCTCCGGCTGGTTCTCGTCTGGCTGTAAATGGCGCCAGCTTCTTCTCGTCTGGCTGTAAATGGCGCAGCTGGTTCTCGTCTGGCTGTAAATGGCGCTCGTCTGGCTGTAGGCTGGTTCTAAATGGCGCCAGCTGGTTCTCGTCTGGAAATGGGCCAGCTGGCCTTCATTAGTGGACGCCGGGACACCTGTCCGCCGGCTCGAGTCCTGCCGGGAGTATCCTTCGCGGCGAGGTCCTATACCGATAAGGATCATGATAACGACAAAGGTATTTGTAGAGCCCCGACCTTCGACTGAAGTATGGAATTCTGACGAACATATTTCGAAACGTCTGATATCGTGATAATCATTCTCATATGTGTGTCTGTATGTATATAAATACATACATACATACATACATATATATATAATATA